ACACATACACACACACACACACACCAAACCCAGCCCTCCCGAACGTAAAGACACAAAAGGGCTTGAGGTACTCACGTTCATCCAAAGAGACGTTGATGAGAGTCGTGAGATTCGCCGAGACACTCTCCTCCTCTACCTCCTCCTGCATCCCCATGCCGCAACTGTACGCCGTCTGCTTCCTCCCCCTCCTCATCATCCTCTCTTCCTCCCTCTCCTCCTCCTCTCGTTCCTCCTCCTCCTCTTCTTCGTCCACCATCATGATGTCAGCACACTGGGACACCCCGCTCAACTCCGTGTGGAAGGGAGAGAAGGCACAAGGGAAAGATGGCAGCCGGCCGGCGTTCTCGCGGGAGGGCGCCGCCCCTTGCCCCGCCCCTTGCCCCGCCCCCTGCCCCATCCCCGGGAAGGAGTGAATGGTGAACACAGAGTCCAGCGAGCCGCCGCCCACAGAGTCAAGGTCCGTCTGGGGAACCATCAAGAAATTGTTGTCCGCGGGGTCGACGAAGCTGTTGCTACTGCTGATGCTGTTGTTGCTGTTGCTGCTGCTGTTGTGATTGTTGAAGCTGCTCAAGTTGTTGCTGCTGCTGCTGCTATTAGTTCTGGTGGTCAGAGTCGTGATGTTGTTGTTCTTGATTCCGTCAGAACTGATGCTGTTTTTGAGGACGTTATTGTTATTGTTATCATTATTGTCATTATTTATGTTGTTGTTGCTGCTGCTGCTGTTGCTGTAGTTGTTGTTGTTGGCGTCGACAACGGCGGACGGCGCGTGGCAAGTAGTGGTAGCGACTACCGTGGTGACTGGTTCGATGATGGAGAGGTCGTGGAACATGCTGATGGTATGACTTCCGGCGGTGTCAGGAGAAGACAACTCGAGCATCTCTCCGCACCGCTCGCTGAAGTCAGCGGACATGACGTCAGTGTGGGCGGGCCACGGGGAGGGGGCGTGGCTCTGGCTCTGAGAGGGGGCGTGGCTCTGAGAGTGGGCGGGGCTCTGCTGCTTGATTGATTGTCCGTGGAAAAAGTTTGTTTTCGGAGAAGGACGTAATGGGTAGAGGGTTGAACACTGAGCGGGGGCGAGCAAGGTGAAAGATGATGGTGGTGGTGGTGATGATGACGACGATGATGATGATGATGGTGATGATGATGGTGATGAGGATAACGGTGATTGTGGCGATGTTGGGGAGAGAGACGAAAGCTGTCGGCAGGAGAGGTTGTAGTTTTGCGCTGCCTGTGGGTTGGAGAGCGGTCTTGCGTAGGACGGGATGAAGGCAGCTCCAGCTCTCGACAGCGACTGTGGGGGGTTGGTGAATGCTGGCGATGTCGCTGCTGCTGCTGCTGCTGCTGCTACTGCTAGACTTGCTGATGCTGTATCAGTTACTGGTGTTGATGATGACGATGATGATGATGGTGGTATTGTTGGTGTTTGCGTTGGAGCAGAAAGCCGTAGGGTCAGTTGGCGTGGGATGTGGTTGTTGGCAGCTGGGTGCTGGTAGAAGGCTTGTTGTGTCAGCTGACCAGTGGGTGGTGTGTGGTGGTGGTGGGGGGCGGTGGCGGTGGTGTCGTTGCAGGCGG